CCCAACCATCAGGAGGGGCGCCCAAGAGGCCGAGGGTTCCACCCAAGGAAGGTCCGAGGTGGTATACAAGGAATATAGTTTCTGCCACATGATATGTCTATTTTCTACCCTAGGCTCCCCATAAACAAAGGTCACCCTCCACTGAGGTGCATCCGCCTGCATACGAACTGCAATATCAATATAACTCTCGTCCCTATCCAAGATATCCACCAGACAATTTTCATGCCAATATAGTGCAAGGTCACCACTGAGTCCATTGCTATCAACACATTCAAAGCCCTTCAGGCCTAGGCGACCTCTCAACCTCTTCATCCTTTCTTCCTTCTGGCTAGTTTCACACAAGAAGACCAACATGGGGGAATGCGACTGAACAAGCGTCGCTAACTCACGAACTATACGGGAATTCCCCCCTCCCCGGCAGTTCCAACTCATTAGATTCATTGATCTCGGCGGCGCTCCACCAGGGAGGCCGCCACAGACGTTCCATTCTTTTGATTATTCTGCTGTACAACTGATGTATTGCCATTCCCCGTCTTAGACCTCTTGGGGTCCTGTTTCAGCGGCGGACTGGGTGGAACAGACCCTTTCCCCGTCAAGGTTAGAGCAGCTGGAGGGGCAACTTGTGCAACTAGCTCCTTAGCATCTACCCCACCTCTTCCTATTTGAATCAATGACATCTGCATTTACACCTTTACCAATACGTTTGTCCAAGTCCATATCAGCAGCCGTACTAGCATTCACCAGGGGATCAGTAGCCTTATCATCCTGGTTTTGGCCACCTCCCCTAGCTCCTCCCCTCATGCTCCAGGAAGCCCTCAGTTTTTAAAGATTAATGGAGCCGGAGCATGAACACCATCCCCATGCTCCATATATAGGTGCCCAATTATACCACAAACGGCACACTAATCCGGAAGACGTTCATATTTTACCCTGAAAATCTTCCTCTTTTGCTTCTTGACACTAGATACATGATTCTTCGGTGGCAATCTAACATCCAGGGGTAACCCTAGCTCTATAAAAATTCCCAGCATAATCACCCGGGTCATCATAATCCTCACATACCTCACCAACTTTCCCTGCCAATGGCTTTACCAGGGGTCCGTATCCATCCGGCAGGTTGTGGATCTGAATCCAAATCTTGAAGGAGTTGAGGTCAATAAGAGATGGTTTTGTGAAACCATCATATACAGCGAGAACCACCGGCTGTCCCCTGAAGGACCACGGCCCTCCCTCCATCACTTTAGTCCAATCTCCCAAACATGAGAATTGCATTGTGTACAGATTATCCCCCAATGATCTGAATTTGACAGTTTGCGCAAGATCCCATGTGTTCCTCATGTTCTTATAGAACCAGAAATCACCATACTCTTTTGAGGTATGCACCTTGCCAATCGCGAGCCATCAAGGGCCAACGTCTGGATCCGGCATCGCATCCTCGAAGATCAAATCATCGAACCCATTTTCCTCTATCCCAATTTCAGCCATCAAAGTCTCCAGCTCATTTTCCTCCGGCGATCGTGACGACGACGGAGCCGGCATCTTCAACCCTAGGACAGCCCCAGGGGGGTGCCCGGCCTCCAAAACCCTAGCCCTCAGTCCCACCAAGGCCGGGAAGCGACGCAAGGTCGCCCCGCGATCGGCCCAATCAAAGAGGGGAGGGGAGCGGTGATGATGTGGATCTCAACGGCGGCGCAGTCGCCGAGAGGAGGGAGCCCTAACGAGAGGGGAACGTTATGGTGGTGGCCTCACCAGTCCACCATCATACTGTGTTCATCTATGTTCATGTGATTATCGACATAGATAGTTTCTCATGTTGCATGGATAACATGGTTTTTGAGGGGTTGAAGTTGAGGTAGATAGATTCTCATGTAGCATCGATAACAAGGCTGACCGGTCACTATTCTCGGACACCTCTGGAAATGTACAAGGGCTGGATTTGATTTGCCATATCAAGTTGTAGATGCTCTTATCAACAGTAAAACAAGCCAATTCCTTTTGCTTTTCAAACGTGTTTTGCCGCTTTCTTACTGGACAAAGCAAAATTTCTTTCCTAGTTCCTAGCACAAGCGTTCCTGGTCAAAACACGCGGATTTTTCGTCGAAAAGAACCAGCCGACAAACACAATTGACAAAAAAGACCACCTACAGATTAATTTGGCAAAAAAGACCACCCACGCTGTGGCGGCGGATGCGCCAGCCGACGCGTGTCACCTGCCGCCACGCCAGCAGGCGGCAGCACCTGCCGCCACAGTGGTAGGCGGCAGCCAGCCAATAACAGCCAGCGCCGTGTCAGAACGGAACAACGGGAAGTAGGTGGGCCCTGCCGCCTTAGGGCGTGGCGGCAGGCCTGCATGGCCGCTGCTGGTACTGCATTGCGCGACCCACACGTACAGCTTGCCTGTAGTACTACTCCTACGTAGGTACTTGCACAAAGGACACTGAGCTCGTTTGTCATGACGGGAAGCAAAGCATATTTGTATACGCAGTGAGGAGCACATGTACATACTTGCTGTGTGATGTGGTCTGCAGTGTAGTTTCTCTTATTGCATTTCTGGCTAGCCCATGCCTAGCCGTACAAAGTTTGGCTAGTGATGGATGCATGCATCATTCGCAGCACTAGCAGCGGCCATGCAGGCCTGCCGCCATGCCTTAAGGCGGCAGGGCCCACCTGCGTCCCACCGTTCCGTTCTGACGCGGTGCTGGCTGTTATCGGCTGGCTGCCGCCTGCCACTGTGGCGGCATGGGCTGCCGCCTGCCCGCGTGGCGGCAGGTGCCACGCGTCGGCTGGCGCGCCCGCCGCCACTGCGTGGGTGGTCTTTTTTGTCAAATTCATCTGCATGTGGTCTTTTTTGTCAATTGCGTTCGCAAGCCGGTCCTTTTCGACAAAAAATCAAACACGCGTTGCCCCAAAATTGGTCAGCCAAGGCAAACAAGAAAAAAAAAAGGCTTTTGAACTGTGCAATCTGGAGTCGACGAGAATCCCGTCGGCCACACGGCACACCCGGAGACATCAAACCAAACCGGGACCCACTGCCATCGGAAAGTACTCCTATCAATCAAATTGACAAAAAGGGATCGCAAACATTTGCAGTTTCGAATGATCAAAGAACAACCACGTCAAATGTGGTAAGCAATTCAAACGATCCAAAAAAATAATCAAATGTTACATGTTCACAATTACTCGGAACCTACATTTCAGCCCTTTCGGCGCAAACCAAACAAGACGCGGCTTGTAAGTTGTAACACCCCACATTTCCCTGTCCGTTGTGTTGTGTTGGCACATCAAAATTGGACAGAAATCCAAGTAAAAAAATATATAAAAGATGGACAGAAATAGAACGAGGAGACCGTTTCCCATGTGCGCCCTCGAACCAAGCTCCCCACCTCCGCCGACTACCCAAAAATGTCACCGCCGCCGCAAACCGCCAACACAGCAACAATTTGGCGTTAACACCGACGGTGGCCAAATAGCATATGTAGTAACCAACAATTCCACAGTAAGCAGATGAGCAGGCCCGGTCCTGAGATTTTGGGGGGCCCGGGGCAAGTCAAAAATTCGGGGCCCCTAGAAAAAGGGACAATAATAATGAACACTTAAGTGCATTCAATTTTGATATTCACAACTAATATTTTTTACATATTATACCTAAAAATTTCTTCTAAAATCCTGCTGGACATCCACGTCCTAGTGGTTAGGCCATGATTTGTATCATTGCATGGCAAGAAATCATCACTCATTCTTCTATTGGGGACAGACATATGCATGAAGAGAAAAAAAACACCTAACGTTAGACATCCATTGATCCCGAAAAACATCGAAAAAACCCAGCTACGCAGTGCCGAAAGGCTAAATGACAGTAAATAGATGATGAGGGCAGTGTAATTAATAGGGAATAGAAATGATATACCTGAGAACAATCACATCGACTGATCGGCGTTCATGATTACGCGCTCCATAACAACATGATGTGGACGGAGGCACTCGGCGATGTTCTCGCAGCGCCTGCAAAGTGGATAGCGGATGGGCTCGGCGCTGTCAATCGCCATGGCCTGATGATGTGCGTGTGAGTCCTGCGTGGCCACGCCCAGCTACGACTCACACTCGCACGCCGCCGGCAGATAGTACTCCCATATGATGTTCGGGACCAGGTCGCCGGAGTATTCTCTAGTAGCGGAATCTGAAGTTCGGGGCCAAGAAAAAGGGAATAGGGAGTGAATTAGGGATCCGATCTCACGTCTGACAAGTTTCAATCGTATTGATTGTATGACATGATTGCGTGCTTACAATATGGGCCTTATTTCGTTTCGGGAGATGAAAGTAATGAATTGCTGATTGCACCCTTGCCTAGTTTTGCCTAGGCTTTCCTTTCGATTTTTGCGGTGAGCCTAGGTTTATGGAGGCAATTTCGTTCTGGAGAAGGTACTGGCCTATGGGGGGCCCCTAGATGTTGGGGGCCCGGGGCGGCCGCCCCCCCCCCCCCCCTGCCCCCCATCAGGGCCGGGCCTGCAGATGAG